ATGCAGTTGCATTGGTACAATCAGCAGAGGAAAATAGAGAGAAAAATATCGAAGGAATTATGGAGGGAATTATGGAAGGAAATACAAAGGGAAATATGGAGGAAAATAGGGAGGGAATTATAAAGGGAATTGTAGAGGAAAATACGGAGAGAAATACGGAGGAAAATAGAGAGGGAATTATAGAGAGAAATACGGAGGAAAATATGGAGAAAAATGCGGGAGAAAGTATAGAAAAAAATATAGCTAATGAAAAAGCAAGAATGAAATTAGCAATCGAGGAACTGGACAATTTATTAAAAAAGGATGATGAACATATGGATAAAGGAACTAAGGTTCACTTACAAGCATCACTGCAATACTTGCGGTTAAGACACCAAGGTTGGACTAAAATTCACGCAAGTGCGACAATTGCTAGCTCATTAGGCTGGGGCGATTATAAAGCGTGATGTATTCGTACATGGGGTAATGAATGGTTAAAATGGAGAAGATTACCAAAGGATAATCGTGGAAAGTTCATAAAGGTAGTGAGTCTTATTGATGATGAAAGGATATCTTTAAAGGTAAAATTTCTTTTATACTGTATAATATTAAAATATAATTGTTATGTAACTCATAAAGACACATTTTAAATAGATCATATCATACTTAAGAAGTCATAAATTTAGTGTGAACCCTAAGATTCTGAAAGAATTTGTGGAGAATGAAGTATTTCCATCTTTAGGTGTTGAAAAAAAGACAACTATCAGTGAAAGAACCACGTCAATATGGCTCAACAAGTTGGGATAGTACTATAAGGAGTGGAAGAAGGGTATATATGTAGATGGTCATAAGCGAGAGAACATGGTACGATACTAACAAGAGATTTTTTTGCCTATGATGGTGAATCTAGAACCTCTTCTTATTGAATACGATAAAAATGATCTGAATAAATTAGTTGAAAAAATATTCCCTAATGAAATGCCACATTGTGTAATAACACATGATGAAACAACATTAGCCGCAAACGATAATAAAAAGACCGGATGGGCTCCTGAAAGTCTGTAATTTTTCTTGTTATTTTTTTTATTTTTTTATTATTTTTATTAATTTTTTTTTTTACTTTTTTTTTTTATAAAAGGTAAACAAAAACTACGTCCAAAAGGACGAGGTAGATGCATTCACATTAGTGAATTTTTATGTGAGCCTTTGGGGCGTGTTCATTTAACTACAGAACAACACTTATCCTATCCAGAAATTCCAAACAGATATGTTACAGAAATTCTTGAAGTTGGTGCAAACCACGACGATTATTGGAATATTCAATTGCTTGCTAAACAACTTAAACACGTGATTGATATTTTGAAAATTGCACACCCAATACAATCTTTGTTTTTGGGTTTGATAATAGTTCTAGTCATGGTGCCTTCGCAGAAGATGCGTTAGTAGCAAGTAGAATGAATGTAAAATATGGTGAAAAACAGCTGCGAATGCATCCTGGTCGATTACCTGATGGTACCCCTCAAGAGATAGTCTTCCCACTTGATTATAAGAAAGAAAAAAAAAGAGGACAGCCAAAAGGGATAAAACGAGTAATAAAAGAAAGAAATATTTGGGATCAACGATTAAGAGGCAAATGTGCTAAGTGCTCAAATGATGAAGAAACGATCTGTTGTAATATAAGAAAATTAGCTAGACAGCCTGATTTTATGAAGCAGAAAAGCGTTCTTGAAGAAATTATAACTAATCGAGATCATAAAATTTTTTTTTATCCTAAATTCCATCCTGAATTAAATTACATTGAATACTTTTAGGATGCACTAAAACAATATACAAGGAGCTATTGCAACTATACATTTCAAGGATTACGAAGTATTGTGCCAGAAGCTCTTAATTCTGTAGATGTTATAACGATTAGAAAGCATACAAGAAGAGCTTTGTGGTATATAGATGCTTATAGAAAAGAATTGTTGCTTGCTGCAGCTGAATTTGCGATAAAAAAATATAAATCTCACAGGAGAATTCCTGAAAGTATTATTCCTTAACCGCTTAACTGTTTGTTATGATTAATAAAGTTTATATCATATAGGGCAAGATATTTGATT